GTCTGTTTGAACTGCATTTGAAATAGTGGACCAATATAAAACTTGGACAAAAATAAATCCATACCAGGTGTTAGACATTGTATAAAATATCGTTCAACTATCCGTCTCTTTTTAGAACGCACCATAGTCTAGAGCGCAGCTCAAAGTCAATGTTGCCAATCGCCGTGTAATAATCCGATTTGCGGATCTTTTTGAGTTATAATATCTTCTTCGTATCTTTAAATAAATCGGATATTTGCATATATTTTTCATTGTATTTACCAATCTACTACAACAGACTAATAACAAAAATAAACTTAATGGTTTGTAGTTATTTCAGAAGTTTGTAGTTATTTTAGAAACATCTAGTGGAATGATATTGGCAACACCGCTCAAAATCTCCAACTCCGATAAACAAAAGAGGGGCTTGCCTAAAGGCGGCCACTTCGACAATGATACAGCTGCGTTGTCCAACTTCGTTTTTAACTAAACACTTGCTTTGATCATATTATAGAAAATGGCTTGATTTAGCGAGAATTTTTTAAGAGTTTTTTAAATTATATAAAAAACAAAAATGCTATAGCGAATAAAAGGTAAAACGTATCACGATAGAAACGCCCGAAAACAGGCAATGGACATTCTAGTTTTAAAGTTCCAAGAAGTAAACAAAGATGCGAATGAAGAGTATGTAAGAAAAAAAATTAACAATTTTAGAACATCCTATAAAAGAGAATTAAAATTAGCAGTGCAGTCCAGTAAATCAGGTGCAGGGGCAGACGAGATTTATTTTGCACCAAAATCTTGGATTCTTTGCACCAGAATCTATACACAAAGAATTTATACACAAAGTAAGAGACGCTAAAATGATTGTTTGATTTGACATGGTCGAGAACCGAACAAATACTGCGGCGCAGTATGGTGTGTGGGCGCACCAGATATACTAACAAATTGAACAACGCCTCTGTCCGATTATGTCGAACGACACCGCTGTATACCGGCTTTAGGAAGCGATAGGTGGTTTGACCACCTATGAATGAGTTCTTGAATTAGTTCTGAATCCAGCAGCCCGCTGAAGTATTGGATTTTTATAATATAATTATTTGACAACCTTTTGTTGGCCAACCACCTACAGCAGAATTGAGCCGAAATACATTTTACAATTTCGTATGTTCCGAATTTATTTCGTTCAATCTGTATAACGATAATTCCTCTATAACGATGACAATAGTAAGCGTTGGTTGGTTCGTCATAAGGAGAATGTAATAATTCTTTCTCTATACGATAACGTTCTCTCTTATAGCGATGACTTTTCAGCGTTCAATAGTCGATGATAAATGTGAAATTGTGTTTAAAGTTCATAATACCTGAGTCACGAGTGGCAACGTCATTGTCCAGCGGTTGTTTTGTTTTGCGCTTAATGAATTCGGCCACCCATTCTACTCATTCTTATCAGAGGGTTAAGTGGCTCGCTTTTATTGTTCATGCAGCGTGCCTAACTGGTATCACACATATGTTGTCATCTATTGACGACTTTTTATTTCCAGTTTGAGTTGTGTCTCACTGTGTCAACATACAACATGTTTTCGAAAAAGCGTAAAGTGCTCTCGGTAGAGGAAAAGTTATCGATAACTCGAGCAATAAAGAAAGGTGAAAAGCAATCGGATGTCGTTCGCCGTACGAGGCTGTCTCAATCAACTGTGGCTACGATATGAAAGGACAAAAAAAAGTGGCTTGAAACGGAGATGGAGGGCAGTAGCAGGAAGAAGTTCTAGAAACCTCAGCAAGATTTAGATCGCGCTATACTTCAATGGTTCCAGCAGCAGCGTATGAACCATATTTCATTTTCTCTCCTGTGGTCAGGACAAAAGCTGAGTTTTTTGCAACTGAGCTTGGAATTGAGAATTTCAAGGCATCTGAGGATTGGCTGAGCAAGTGAAAGCTGAGGCACAATATCAACTACAGGCAAATCAGCGGAGAGGCTCGCTATGTTAACAAAGACGTAACGGATGATTGGCTAGAAAACGTGTGGCCTGGGCTGAAGACATGAAATGCGCCAGTCGACATTTTCAATGCTGATGAGACTGGATTGTTTTTTAAAATGACACCAAACAAAACTTTAAAATATAAATCGGAAAAGTGCGTTGGTGAAAAGCTCTCTAAGAAACGCATTACAGTTTTAGTGGCCGCTAACATAGAGAAACGATAGAGAAAACCCACGTTGCTGTAAAAACCTAAAAAATCTAGCGATGGTCTATAAAGCAAACAAGAGTGCGTGGATAACTTCGGAAATTATTTAAGAAGCGATAAAAAAGTGGAATATCGAGAAAGAGAAAAAAATCTTCTGCTTGTAGACAATTGTCCTGCTCATCCTGTACTGTGCGACCTTCATAACATTGGTCTGTGATTTTTGTCAGCAAATACGAGTATCCTTCAGCCCATGGACCAAAGTGTCATCAAGACTTTGAAATTCCATTACAGGAGAAGACTTTTGATGGAATTGTTTGAGAACAATGGCGATTTTAAACTAAACGTTCTTGACGCCATCCTAATGATTAGTAAATCCTGGGACGAGGTGACTAGCAATACAATAAAACATTTCTTCAAACACGCAGGATGGCTAGAAGATCAAGAATTTACTGATGATGAAGATGGCCTGCCATTAGATGTTTGGGCCAGACAGTTTGAACTTACTATCACCTACGGACCGGAAGAGCTAACAGATTTTGAAGAAGTTGATGAAAATGTAGCTACAACATCTGGACTTTGTAACGAGGACATCCTACAAGCAGTTCGTGTAGAAGAAGAAAACAGTGACTCAGAAGTGGAAGCAGAGGCAGAACCAGCTCCGACCAATCAGCAAGCATTGGATGCGAAAAAATTACTGCATCGATTCTTTATCCACCAGGAAGACGATCTAAGTGCTGTGGAAGATTATATGCATCTTCAGGACAAGATCAGATCAATTCGGCAGAAAGGGAAAAGGAAACAGACCAAGGTGACAGACTTTTTTGGTAATGTAGACTAAATGTATTTTACAGGAGCTTATTATTTTGTTATTGTACAGTACACATGTTTTAACTTATATTGTATTGCTTATATTAGTCTTTAATAAATCCATGTAGTGTACGATATAGTGTACATTTATATTCGTTTTAATAATTTTTTAAAATTTAAATAGGTTATTTAGTACAGTATTATTATTATTACAGTACCGAATTTTGTGTCTGTATAACGATCTCTCTTTATATATATATATATATATATATATATATATATATATATATATATATATGTATATAATATATATATATATATATATATATATATAAGGGTCACTCAGACGAGTGGTGGGTTCTTATATCGGTCTCTAGGTGGAGAAATAAAAGACAAAGTTGATAGGCTACTTTATCTATTTTGAAGACGTTTCACTTTCGAGTTTTGAAAGCATCATCAGTTCATCTAAAAAATTTTACAATATGAGAACCACACAATCATGGAAACGATGTTAATTGTTACCTTAAAAAGATATGTAGCAGTCAATGTTATTAACAAACATGTGAATGAAACTAAGTAAATGGACATAAATTTCATTCTCATGTTTGCTAATAACATTGACTGCTACATATCTTTTTAAGGTAACAATTAACATCGTTTCCATGATTGTGTGGTTCTCATATTGTAAAATTTTTTAGATGAACTGATGATGCTTTCAAAACTCGAAAGCGAAACGTCTTCAAAATAGATAAAGTAGCCTATCAACTTTGTCTTTTATTTCTCCACCTAGAGCCCGATATAAGAACCCACCACTCGTCTGAGTGACCCTTATTATATATATTAGATTGACGGTCGTACTCCTTTTTCCGATATATATATATATATATATATATATATATTATATATATATATATATATATATAAATGGAAAAGGATAATGTGAGTGAATAATAATAGTAAAAAATAATGGCATGTCTCGCAAAACAGAAAACCAAAAATGGTATATCGATGGAAGGCAACCGTATTATACGTATTTCTGACTATTGGTCGTCTTTATTACTATACAATATTGGTATATTGTAGTGATCCTTTGGCCTGTAACTTTCAGGGCCGACGGATTTACGTGCCCTCCGAAGCACGGTGGCAGCTCAGTAAAATTAAAAATTGAACATTTTAGTGCCTGGATTTAAAAATGATGTGACACGATGTCGATGTTACTCGACATATCTATGTTCCATATACTGATCTCTACTCGACACAATGACGTTAGTGTCCTGAGGAAGATACCTTGGAGATAACGTTTGACTATAAGAAAAAAAATATATAAAAATACGATCATCATCACAATGGCATACAATGGACAAGACTGAAAATTATTCTACCTTGTATAAATCCAGCCTTTTATGTTATAAATGATTAACTAGCATAATAGAACGTAATAACCTGTAGAATTTCTGCTGCATGTAACGGATATACAATATATTGATCGATATATAAAAGGTATTAAAATGCCTGCTTTTAGAATCAGCTCGTGTAACAAATACAATTGCATTCTTTTAAGTTGATAACGTTTTTTGATTAAAACATGTTTAGTTGTTTTTATGTATGACTAATGAAAACATTTTAACTACTAATAGCTTTTATTTCCCAGACGGGATTGATTTCTCGATAAAAAGTTTTAGTAACAAATATCTACTTCAGTAGCATTTTAATATCTCATTATTGTAAAACATTTTTATTGTACTTATTGATTTTTAAACGTAATTTAAAGATAAACTTATTTAGAGTATTATTTCTCAGTATTGAAATTAAGTATCATTTTATAGCATTTCCACTTAAAATATCTATAAAATGTTACTTTTTTCCAGAAATATATTTTTACGTACAAACCACATTTTATAATATAATCTTTCAACTAACTCTCATAGTCACCGAGTGAAGTAAACAATGGAATTATTGTTTAAATTCGTTACCTAGTTTAATTGTAACACTAAAAAAATGACGTTACTTTGTTAGATTCATCTTACCTTTTCTTGATAAAATTTCGTAACCCATATTTTTTTATATTTCGATTCTGTTCTTAGTTTGGTGCCAAATAAATACACACACATACATATATTAACATATATATATATATATATATATATATATATATATATATATATATATATATATATATATATATATTCTTAGAAAGGGCTTTAGTGACTATGTGAGTAATATATACGGATATATTGGGTTTAGTAGTCAATATATTGGCCTTTAAGTAAAACTCTTTTAGGTTTGCTAAGCTTTCGAGTTTATTTTGATCTTTTTCAAAACATACTAAAAATTAACATAAAAAATTTACATTAGAAAAATGAAGTTCTTATGTCTTCAATAGGCTTACCCTTGTGAGAATTGTCTTTTAAAATTAGCAAAATTTTACATTTTTTCATTATGTCATTAACATAATGACATTAAATTTGATTTACTTTTTATTTCTGTCAAAACTTATTACTAAGGTTTACATGTCTCTTCTATTTTTTATATTTATTTTAGGTGAGTTTGACAGAGGAAGTGTCTATGTTTATGCAAACCTTCATTGCAAATTTTGATATAATATTACAGTTATTAAACAAGCAACAGAGTTTATGTTACTAAGTATTTAAGAAAGAAAAAATACAAATAAAAATAAATTTTATCTCATTTGAACTTAGAATAATCCCTTTCTTAAATACTTAGTAACATAAACTCTGTTGCTTGTTTAATAACTGTAATATTATATCAAAATTTGCAATGAAGGTTTGCATAAACATAGACACTTCCTCTGTCAAACTCACCTAAAATAAATATAAAAAATAGAAGAGACATGTAAACCTTAGTAATAAGTTTTGACAGAAATAAAAAGTAAATCAAATTTAATGTCATTATGTTAATGACATAATGAAAAAATGTAAAATTTTGCTAATTTTAAAAGACAATTCTCACAAGGGTAAGCCTATTGAAGACATAAGAACTTCATTTTTCTAATGTAAAATTTTTTATGTTAATTTTTAGTATGTTTTGAAAAAGAGTAAAATAAACTCGAAAGCTTAGCAAACCTAAAAGAGTTTTACTTAAAGGCCAATATATTGACTACCCAATATATCCGTATATATATATATATATATATATATATATATATATATATATATATATATATATATATATATATATATACGGATGAAACAAAAAATAGCATAAACAGGGTGATTTTATTGTGTTTTAATTGTTTCTTGTTTTTTGTTTGCTCTGTTTTTATATTTAATTACTAGTGACCTAAGTGCTTTTAACCAATACTGTCAGTACTGTTTTGAACAAATTATGTTCAACAACTTATTTAAATACTTTCCACTCTAAATCTGTAAGTGAGTCATTGTTTATTCTAAACTTATTTTTATATAACTTCTAATCATATTTTAGTTGTCTCCTGATGAAGCTGAGAAAAAATCAGCGAAGGAATCAGAAAAAATCAGAATTAAAAATTGTTACATACATATATATATATATATATATATATATATATATATATATATATATATATATATACATTCGATATTTGCGTTATTTGCAATATTTAACAAAAATTAAATTAACACAATTCAAATTCTTTTTAAAATTAGAATTACCGTAGCCAAAATTCATGATAGGTATCTTTAATATTAGTGTTAAGTGTAGATATGTAATCTACAGTAAAACGTTAATGATATCTGTAAATGTTTAACAAATATTATTTGTTAATTAAATATACTACACAATTTACTGTCAGTGATGCATTAACTCAAATATTTTCATAGAAAAGATTTTAAGTTAAAATTTTAGACTAAATTAATTTTTTAATTTAAATATATAAATATAAATAAATATTTAAGATTTAATTTCACGTACAGTCCATCTACTATTTGATTATACGTATTTCATCTTGTAAGACTCATCAGAGCGACTGGTATAGAAGGAACAAACTCGTAAACTTTCTTGGTAGGACGAATATTGGTACAGAGTAATTTTTAGTAAAGAATAGAAAAAATCTGGCTAATTGACTCGGCCGAGGCCACAAACTAAAAAAATACAGCATTACTGTAAATGCTGAGAAATATTAATAAATATAGACTACTAATAAGTATTGTGATATTAAATGCCGGCGGAATTATATTTTTCACCAGGACTAAATCATCATCTTTTGGCTCGACAATCCTCTGTGAATCTTGGCCTGCTCTAAGATTCGTCGCCATTCTGTTCGCTTTCTGGCAACATGTTGCCATCTTCTGATTTTTAATATCCGTAAGTCGGTTTCAACTCCATCTAACCACCTAATTCGCGGTCGGCCTTTGCTTCTTCTTCCTACAGGTGTTCCTGTGGTTAGTTTTTTAGCAATCGTATTTTCTGGCATTCGTATTATGTGCACAGCCCATCTAAGTCGCTGTGTTTTAATGAACGTTATGACATCTGGCTCATCAAAGAGCTGATACAATTCAAAATTATATCTTCTGCGCCCCTGCCCTTGGTCGTTTATAGCTCCAAATATTTTGCGGAGTATTTTACGCTCAAATATTCCCAAAAGTCTTTTATCTTTCTGCGTTAGAGTCCATGTTTCTGCTCCATATGTGAGGACCGGCCTCAGCAATGTTTTGTATATAATAATTTTAGTTCTTCATTGAATGTTTCTTGAGTGGAAATGCTGTTGGAGTCCATAGTATGCCCTATTTGTAAGATTTATTCGTCTTTTGATTTCTTCGCTTGTTTTATTGGTAGCAGTCAATAGCGACCCAAGGTATGTGGAGTTGTCAACACGTCCAAAGGTATGACTTCCAAAGACTGTTTCTCGTTCCTCATTTGCTATCGGATCCTTTGTAACCAACATGTACTTGGTTTTGTCTTCGTTGATGACTAGACCGACCTGTTTCGCCGCTGTTTCCAATTCTAGGAGATATTGCTCAACATCTCGCTTGCTACGCTCTACTATGTCAATGTCATCAGCATATGTTAAGACTTGTATCAATCTATTGTAAATAGTACCGCCATCCCTAATTCGTGTATCTCGGACTGCCTTTTCTAACGCAATATTAAATAGGAGGCACGCCAGAACATCCCCTTGTCTGAGTCCATCCTTTATCTCAAAGGATCTAGAATTCTCTCCCTGTATTCTAACAGTGGCTTCTTATAGACATTGTCATTCTCGTTAATCGGATATTTTTCTCTGGTATACCAAACTCATGCATTGATTGGTATAGCACTGTTCTCTTGACACTGTAGTATGCGGCCTTGAAGTCGACGAATAGTTGATGGGCTTCAATATTGAATTCTACCAGGACTAAATGGCCTGTCATATTGCAAAAACCACATACCACTGGTTTGAAACAATATAAATATCTTCTCTTGGCTTTATAACATTCCTGGCCTAAATATTATTGAAACAGTATAGAACAGAAATCCTTCACTTAGTGGAACGCAGAAGGTTAATTAAAGGAAATAAAGATGAGTATAAAAAAATGCAGGCTTACATCAGAAGAAAAATAAGAGAAGCTAAAGAAAAATAACCTGTAGAGAAATGTACAGAAATAGAAAGACTACAAGCCAAGCATGACAATTTTAATGTACACAAAAAGGTCAAACAAATAACGGGTACTTTTAAAAAGCGAACACAAATGAAACTCATAGACATCAATGGAAAATTAATCATTGACACCCAAGAGATGAAAGACAAATGGAGAATATATTTGGAGACACTTTTTCAAGATCAAAGAACGGATTATAGGCATCCATTTTCAGAGAGGATGACGGGCCCGGATATACTTAAATCCGAGGTAGAAGAAGCAATAAAACGGATGAAAAGCAGGAAAGCTGTAGGCCTGATAATATCGAAGCTGAATTTTTAAAACTCTTGGAGAAAGAAGGAGTAATTTGGATCACGGCTGTCTTCAATTAAATATACAATACAGGAATCATCCCTGATAAATGACTAGAATCAGAATTCATAGCGATACCTAAAAAACAGGGAGCTAAAAAGTGCGAAGAATATCGAACAATCAGCCTAATGAGCCATATGTTGAAACTGTTTCTTAGAGTCATCCATGGAAGAATTTATAAGGAGTGCGAGGAACAAATATCGGACAGACAGCTCGGCTTCATTAACGCAGTGGGTACCAGAGATGCACTTTTGGAGTACAGGTACTGATTCAAAGATGCAGGGACGTTAACTGCGACGTATACGCGTGCTTGATCGACTACGAAAAGGCATTTGACAGAGTTCAACATCAAAAGATGATAAACATTTTTAAAAGAGGCAGACCTGGATGACAAAGACCTCAGAATAATTTCAGAACTCTACTGGAATCAGACCGCATACATGAAAATTAACGGAGAAGAAACAGATCACATAAAAATACTACGTGGAGGACAGGGATATATCCTATCGCCGTTGATATTTAATATGTACTCAGAGAAAATTTTAACGAGGCTCTTTACGGAATAGACGAAGGCATCCTTCTAAATGGTGAAAGAGTAAACAATGTTAGATATGCCGACGACACCATGGCGATAGCAGATAGTTTAGAGGGACTTCAGAGGCTAATGGACAGAATAAACGAGTACAGTCAACAGTACGGACTAAACATTAATACCCACAAAACGAAACAAATGATTATCAGCAAGGAGAATATAAACGGGGCTCATCTATACATTAATGGGACGCAGATAGAGCGAGTAAAACAGTATTGTTACCTGGGAACTATTATTAACCAACAGTGGACCAATTTACAGGAAATAAAGTGCCGCATAGGAAATGCAAGAACAGAAACATTTGAAATGCTATGTTTTCTCTGTGTTGTACGGGGCGGAGGCATGGACGCTTACAGACACTACTATTAAAAAACTTGAAGCATTTGAGATGTGGCTTTATAGAAGAATGCTGAGAATATCATGGACAGCAAGGATCACGAACAAGGAAGTTCTAGGAAAAATGAAGAAGGAACCAGAGATTGTGTTTACGATCAAACGCATAAAATTGCAATATCTGGGACACGTTATGAGAAATC